GGGTGTGAACGGCCATCCCTCCTGTCACGGCCCCCCACCAGAGGCACCGGTGCTCTTCACCCTCCTCCCTGTCCTGTCACGACCAGAGGCACCGGTGCCAGGGTCTTCACCCTCCTCCCTGCTCCCTGCCCTCAGGCGCCAGCGTTGCCAGTGGACCCAGTGGGCGACCTCCTTGCCAAGCTGGGGGCACTGGGGGGCAGGAGGGGAGCCCATCTCCCAGGGGGCTCCCCAGGGCTGGGTCAGGCTGCTGCGGGGGACCGGTGAGGGCTGTGCATCGCAGCACCGGGCATCGCAGCCCTCCTGAGGTCACCTGGAACCAAGGAGAAGAGGAGGAGGAGGCAGCAGCCGAGCTCTCCAGCCTGCAGGAGGGGTATGCTGGTGCCCGGGGGATGCGCAGCAATTCCTTCGAGTACGCGGACGACGACGAGGAGGAGGATGATGAAGTCAAGGTGTGAACGGCCATCCCTCCTGTCACGGCCCCCCACCAGAGGCACCGGTGCCAGGGTCTTCACCCTCCTCCCTGTCCCCCACCCTCAGGCGCCAGCGTTGCCAGTGGACCCAGTGGGCGACCTCCTTGCCAAGCTGGGGGCACTGGGGGGCAGGAGGAGAGCCCATCTCCCAGGGGGCTCCCCAGGGCTGGGTCAGGCTGCTGCGGGGGACCGGTGAGGGCTGTGCATCGCAGCACCGGGCATCGCAGCCCTTCCCTGGCCTCACTGCTGTTAGACGCCAAAGGGACATTCCCATGTGCCAAAGAAACCCCAAACCCCTTCCTACCCCATCCCATTCCCCCCAGTGCCCTCTCTCCCATCCCTCAGCCTGGCTCCATCAGCATGTCTGGGGACGTGCCCCGTCCTCCCACTGAAGCCCCCAAACACCCTCTGCGCTGGCACGGGTGGCCTCCTGGAGATATTCCCACTGATAGCTCTGGCATATAGGGGATGGGGGTCTCCCCAGCTCCAGATGGTGCAAGACCTTCCTCTATAGCACATCTGTCTACTGGGGGAGGTCAGCTGGGGGCTCAAGGGGCAGGCAAACCCCACAGAGCTGGGCTTTCCCTTTTCCCCTCCCCCCAGAAAAAGCCGTGAGCTCAGCGTTCAGGAGGTAAGAGCACACACAGAGATAATTGCAGGGGTCTTTCCACTTGCCTCCTGCTGCTGAGCATCACTTAAGACTGCTCCTTTTCCAACCCCTGCCCCCTCGCAGCAGGGAGGGGAGAAACTTCTTGGCTGGCTGGAGGCAGAGGCGAGGTTGTCAGGTCACCAAATTCTGCAGTTCAGGCCCCAAAAATCCCTTCCCTTCCCCCCACCTCAGAACAAGGAGACTCCCGCTCTGCAGCCACTCAGTCTGTGCCACATCTTCTCCATCCTTGCCCCCTCTCCTCATTCCCCACGTGCGCGCCCCTCTTTCCAGCATGCCCCTTCCCAGGGGTACGCATGGAGGACAGCTAATGCCCCTCGCTGAGTGGCCCTGGGCGATGTGGCCGCCCTGGAACGAGCTGTCCCCCACGCTGCCCCGCGTGCAAACTGGCCCTCACAAAAGCACCTTTGTGCTGCAGCGTGGAGCCGAGATGCTCGGGGGCTGAGGTCACCAGAGGGACCCTCACAGGACCCCCCTTGTTCTCCAGGACAGGAGGGGGTGTGCAGCAGGGGGAGATGCCAGGCTGTGGCCGCAGGGCTCTGCTCCCACACAGCTCACCCACCGCCCGGCTGCTTCTGGCAGGGAGCTCTTCAGAGCGGAATAAAGAGGCTCCGGCATGCACGTGTGTTGTACATGGGAGTGCCACTCGCAGTCATGCCATCGAGGTTACGGGCAAGCCCATCTCCCCCAGCTTCCCTGGGTGGCTGCCTCGTGCTGGCCAGCAGCAGCAAGCCAGGGCAGGCAGCAGCTTCAAGGAGTCCCCAGCTCTGGCCACTGGCACCCAGCAGGATCAGCCTTATCACCCCTGCACTCTCTGGGGCAGGGACCCTGGCTCTCAGGACGAGCTCACCCCGCCCTCCGCTTCCCAGACAGTAACACAAGCTCCGGACCAAAGACCCACATCTGTGGAATATCCTTTCTGCCTCCACTCTGTATCCCATGCACTTATTATTGTCCTTATTAAAGCAGTTTTGATACTAACTTCTCCTCTGGTGCCTCCCCTCAGCTGCAGCGACCTTATTGTCTTCCTTGCTATGTCTGCCAGTGCCCCAGCCACAAAATCCCATCCTCTCCACTCTCAGCAGGCTTTTCCAGCACCTCTGGGATCCCTGGATTAACTAGCCTGGTACTTTGCCACTCGCCATGGCTAACACACAAAGCAACCTCCTATCCACCCGGCTCCGCGTAGCATGCAGGAGGGTGCAAAGCTTCCTCTCCAGCCTGGCAACAATTCATTTGCAGCCTGAAGGAGATCGGTACCCCTCCCAAAGCTGGCTTGGCTACAGCCCTTCCAGCCCATCAGACATCCTCTGCCTGTGCACTCAGGCAGCAGCAAGTCTGGCGGGTTGGGCAGTGAGGAAGTGGAGAGGGAGGGCAGGGGCACTGCCACCTTGCCTTGGACCAGGCTCTCCGTAAGATGCTCTTCTACTCTGCTCTCCTCCCACCCAGCCTGAAGTGCCCCGATGTTTGCTGTCACACATCGGTCTTACTTAAGGCTAGCGAGGCACTTTTTAATTAGAGCAGCAGCATCTGATAATCAGCACTAATTGCCTGTGGTCCCGTGCGAGGGGGACAGACTGGTAGGTGCTGAGCCACATAACCCAGCCCAAACCCTGTCCTGCCTCCCCACTGCCTTCCCCTGCCTCACTTTCGCTGAGTAGGGTTCGGTGTGGAAATGTCAGAGTAATGGGTAACCCGGCTGGAATGTGCCAGCAGATAAGTGAGGTGAGATAAGGGGGAAAGTCAGATGCTGGCTCAGGGGCACACCTGTGCTGCCTTCCCCATGCCACCACTTCTCATGGTACTGCTCCTGCAGGAGGGCAAGGCACCCCTTCCTCCTGCCTGCTGGCTGCGAGAGCAGCCAAGAGGAACCTGTCAAACCCATGCCCTGAGGTTCCCAAACCTAACATTTAATAACGTGCTTTTGTGGCACCGAATGCCACATCAAATGCCACATCACTCATGTCAACAGTTTTCTTCCCCTTCCTCCCTCCCTCCCTCCCTCTCAAAAACTCGGGTGCAGGAAGAAATGGTGCATTGTGAAGAGATTACACAACCATTCCCCGAGCAATCACATAGTGTCCTCCTCCTCCTGAACTCCACCTACAGCCTGCTTTGCCCTACCTACTCTCCATTCAACCCCACATCCTGGTCTGACCTGGAAAAGCACCTGGCATTATCTGGCAGCTATTTCCACCCAACAAGGGCTCCTTTCCTGTTGGTGGAAAAACCTTGGGCTTTGTCGGTGTCTCACACAGAGCCACGGAGCCAGAGACCTCACAGAAGCCATATTAGCTGGAGCAAGCAGTCTCCCACTGCTTGGGTTTTTATTAGAGCTAGGAAGCAGCACCCATCAGTCCAGCTTGAAGGAGGTGACCCTGAAGCCTCCCCTGACGCTCATGTAGCTGATCATCTGGTAGCAGTGCCGATTGGGGAACTCCACTTTATGCCCATCTGGTAGTTTCACTTGGAATTTCTCTGCCAGCATTTCAATGATGATCTGGGAGAAGAGAGGGGAGGAAAGGCAGGGATTGGGGACAAGGAGGAGATTAGGAGGTGACCGTCAGGTGAAAGTCCTGACTGTTACACGTGAGGGTCAGACCTGGTCCTGACAGCTTTAAGCAAGGTGCTGGAGGTTGAGTTGAGGGTGATGCAGAAAATGTGCAGTTGATATCAAGGGTCTGAGCTGGTATCTAGACTATGACCTGGGGACAGGATCTCTCCTGGGACTGTTTCAGCTACTCAGATTGTAAACTCACAGCAGTTAAAGCCAAGTGTGTCTTTATACGCCACATGGCCTAGATCTGCTCTGAATAGGGCAGAATAAACCTGACAGCCCAATGCCCTCAGCAGCTCACCAGGACCTGGAAAAAGGAACTTTGCTGATAAACATGCACAAGCAGACAGGACGGGAATGTATCACTGATCACTGCAAATTAAAGGGATCATTCCCCAAAGCCGTCACCCCTTCCCCAAGAGCCAGCCATGACTGAGGAAACAAGCTTCCTCTCCACAGCAATAGGAACAGGACTGCTCCTAAATGCAGCCCTGTTAACATCTTGGGACATCAGGTGGGGTGAGGCAGCAACTAGGACAGCATCCCCGGCAAGAGGAGAGGGAGGGCAAATTGGCAGCATGGATCCAGGAGTAGTGAGGACAGAAGAGCTGAGGGAGAGGTTTTTGGACATTGCTCCAAACTCTGGGTTGCCTTAAAGCCTGTGTTTGCATAGGAGGGAATTAGGGAGAGAAATAAGGTAGAGAGCAGCAAGCTCCTGCTTCTTGGAGACCCCCTTTACCTTCGTATGTGCCCCTGGTGCACTCACCTGCTGGGCAGGTATGGGGGGCAGGAAGCACTTACAAAGCCTGAGGCAGACAGGGCTCATGCAAAGTTCCCAGAGGAAGCATTGGGGTTTTGAAGGAGGAGTAGAAATGGCAATCAGGACCAAAAACTCAGAGGATGAGGATAAGGGGCTGTTGGGAGGGAGCAGGAGGCATTGGATGGGACTGGGAGGACTAGGGTATGGGTATCTGCTAACCAGGGGCTTCCCCCCACCACACACACACCCCACAACCCCATGCCGGCACAGACCCCTCACCTTGATAGTGGAGCCCCTGGAGAAACAGAGGTGGTTATCACGATGCTCTGCCTGCCAGGCATTGGAGCACCTGGAGTTGCAGACAATGACAGACTCATTGAAGCGGGGATTGAAGTGAAGTGCCAGATCTGAGGATCTGCAGCCGAGATTGATGCTGAAGCTGTGGGTGAATAGGAGGAAGGTCAGCTGCATGGGCAGGACAGGGTCTTGGAAGACCTGAGATCCAACACACGGCTCTGCACTCAGTTCCTCCATCAGCGTTGCAGGTGCTTAATGCCTCCTGTTTCCTCATTCTGCTTGGGAACAGAGGGAGTTTGCACAGTGGTGGCGCAGGGGCTCCCCTAACACTGAGCTACGCTCACGCTTTTTGTACCTGGCGACCTTGGAAAACCACTTCCCTCTGCAGCGCATCTTCAATCCTGGCAAGTCAAGGTGGTTTCTTTGTACTTACCCGTCAGAATCATCAGATATCTTGCCCTTGACCTTCAGGGTGTCCCCAGTCTTCATATCCAGGTTGAAGATTTCAAGTTTTTCCTAAGGCAGAGAGAAAAATAGTCTGTGGGGCTCCTTCAGCCATTCTTCCCCTGCCACCGCAAGTGAGAGGGTGCTGCTTGGAGAAGGTGCCCCAGCCAGGAGAACATCTACTGCTTTCAGCTGGTGTTCCTCTCATGGCCAAAAACCTTCCGTGCTGGAGGTCTTGCATGGGCTTCTCACTCAGTGAGGGAAGAGCGGGCTGAGTAAAGCCAGCGAGAAAAGATATCAGAGAGAGAGGAGGTGAAAACAGGCTTGTCCTCAGCAGAAGAAAGGGAAAGCACGACAGCAGAGGTACAAAGAGGGTTAAAGCAGTGGGGAACAACCCAGGGTTTGGTGGGTAGCATCGCCTGCAGCTCAAGAAATGCAAGTGGAGAGAGCAGAGGTGGCTGTGGCTTGCCGGTCCCTCGCTCAGCCTTGCTGAGCTGGGGACCCTGGGTGACAGAGGACAGGAGCAGGAGCCCTTACAGCCATCTTCCTCAGAGGGCAGAGTAACCAGGCAGGGAGCCACCAGCAGTTTAGCTCAGAAACACTTTGCACGGAGGACCTTACATCCCTAGACTTCCTTGTGGCTTACACATTAACAGCACCGCTGCCTCTGCAAGGTCCCACCGACTGCTATTAAGCCAGGAGACTTTGATCCGAAGAAATAGCTTTCCTATGTACACTTCCTCTCATTAGGGACTTCAGGAGATTTAACCAATTCCCAGCCTCCTCAGTGGGTCCCAGTGGAGGGACCACCACACACAGCCCTTAGGGGTGCTACTCCAGCCACCACATAGGACAAGCATCTTCCCAGCTGGCCATGGAAGTGTGACCACCGTGTTCACTTCTTTTCTGTGTGTAACAGCTCAGCCAAAAGAAGCATCCCAGCTCCTTCCTTTTGTGGCAGGGGGGCAGCCCCCAAAATCCACACCAGCACACCAAAATGGTCCCCACCATCCCTTCCCACGGTGCTCTGAGGAAGGGCTCCCAAGGGGCTCCAAGGACAGGGCAGCCAACACATCCCCTCTAGATGACACGAGCTATGAACAGTCCTTTGCAGGAGTGACATGAGTGGCATCCCAGCTCCTTCCCTTCTCATGGCTCTAGATTCAGCCCCAGCTGCACAGATTGCACTAGCAATACGTGGGAGCTCTCTGCAACCTCCCATCCAAGCTCCATCAAGACCCAATCCTTTTAGCTTGAGGAGCCATGCACATCAGGTTCAATAGCCCCATCCTCCCTAACCCTGAGACACGGGAATGTTGTCCTCACAGGGGAGCATCACCCCTGCTGTCTTCTTCCCAGGTAAGAGCTACGAGTCAGCAGACAGTGTCCCAGGTTTGGTTGAACAAATTGGTAGTGTTTTGCCAGACTCCAGAAGTCAGTGGGAAAGCAAGAGGGAGGAGGAGGCCAAGGCTTAGGAGACCAGCAGTCCCTCAGCCCCGCTCCCAAGCCCTGCAGAGAGCAGCTGAGTGCAGTCATCCTGCTGCTGCACAGCCAGCTGGGAGACAGCTTCTGCCCTTCCCCAAAACACTCCTGAAGCAAGCAGAGGTAAGTGCTGATAAGCACTCCTTCCCGGGAGGTGTTTCCTATTAGCAGGGGGTCAGAAAGCCCAGCAGGCTTGGGATATTTGTTTGCTGTTGAGGTCACTGAAGCTGTTGGTGAAACCTCCCCGGGCTGAGCATGGAGCGAGCAGGAGCAGGTGCTGGTGGTTTCTGGCATTGGGTCTGTTTCCTCATCATGCTGCTGTGTCCCACACACACACACCTTCACATCACCCTGCTCCCCTGCAGCTATCCTAGGGACAACACAGAGCCCCCCTCTCAAAATATCGGAGCATTCCACTGGCTATGAGAGGTTTCTTTT